TAGCGACTCGGATTGAGGAATCGAAGAGCCAAGTTCGAATCCATTACATGCTAATACCCTTGGGGAAGGTATGATTTCTCTTCTCCCCCAGCTATGGGTAAATAGCAGGATAGACCGGGTTCCTTGGATGGCAACTGGCTTACCGCAGAAAGAAATGGCAACCTACTGCAGGAAAAAACCTGCCTCGCGTTAGCGCATGGCACATAACTGACTGGCCGTAAAATTCATGTAATTTACGCATATTTTTTTCGCAAAAATAAACGTTAGGGAGTGCGTAAATTACATGAGTAGATCGTTTCCAGGTTGTTCTTTTTTTTCTTTTTTTTTTTTTTGTTGTTGAAAAAAGACGTACAAAACGTAAACATTCGTACCAGAAGTTGACCCATTTAATATCAGCATAAGTTTATACTGAAAAAAATAAAGCCTTAAATGTAATGAAGTTGACTTTTATATATGCTGGACGGTAAAATACTTTTTCTGTATAAATTTACTAAAACCATTAAATGGTTTGTTTTGTTTCGTTTTACGGCATATCAACCCCAATGGGTCATTTAATGCCGAGAACTTGTTTTCCTGGTAATATTTTTGTTTTGTCAAATGTATTTCTGTTAATATTTTTTTTTCGAAAATGTATAGCTGGTAATATTATTTTAAAAAAAAATATATTGCTGGTTTTTTTTTCATTGAAAAATTTATTTCTGGTAATAATGTTTTTACGAAGCAATTCTGGTGTTAAAACCTATTTTTACACTTTTATAATGCTTTTTACCTCAGTCTCGTGCTTAACTATTTGCCCATCGCTGGGATCCTAATAGGTGCTACCACCCGGGGTCAGGGTAGACCTGTGAACACCAGCAATTAAGAGGTGGTTCCACGCTTCTCAAAGCCTCCTGATCAGAGGCCTTGCTGTTGGACGTAGTTTACCCTGGGCTCGGATGGAGTTTATCGTCATACCCAAGACGGCATTAAATGGTTAACTACGTTTTTAAAGTCTGACGTTCATGCTGGTAATCACGATCCAGGCCATATTTTACATTGCTTGGGGTTTCTACCTATTGCAATGGGGCACCACTGACATACATAATGATATAGATATTCTTGACTAGAAAAAATGTTATGATATGGGTAGTCTTGACCCTATGGTTTTATTCTTGTCTGTCTTTCTTGTTTTGTCGCGAGATCGGCAAAATTATTGAGGATGATAAGGAAAAGGATGTAAATTGTAAACATTTACAATGTTCACTATTTACATTATTCGGACTATTGTCCTCATCTTTGTTGCCATATTTATAAAAACGTTTCGGACGTTGTACGCTCCGGCCTTCTTCAGGCGGTTGGAATGTCAAAAGATGAGGACAATAGTCCGAATAATGTACATAGTGTACATAATACCTCATCACAGAAATATAGATATTTACAATGTTGACAATACAAATCTTGACTTCTACATGTGAGCATAATCCGGGTCATATAATTTAATATCTTTTAATGTGATACTTACACATTAAACAGAAATTATTTTTATTTATTGAAAATTTAATATAATCTAATTCTAAATAATTGAAATTATGCTAAATACAACTAAAGTGAAAACCTCTTCCCTCCCCCGGGTATATTAGCAATTCTGAAAATTTTGGAGTGCGAATTTTACATGAATAGAAGGTTTTTTAACAAATTTTATCCTGGAAATCACTTGCGTAAATTACACAAGTGCGCAGATTACATAGGTTTTAACGGTATATTTATTTTCGATAATTAATAAATATACTGTTTAATAATAAATAACTAGAAATAACGTTTAAAGTGATAAACAATCTGTCGGATTGATGAATAAAAAATCCATTATTTCTTTCGAAATTGCATTGTTTACTTTAGGGTAGGAAACTGATCAGATATGAAATTTCGAGAGTCTATGACGAGGATTTCGCTTGAAGGCATTATTGGGAAGAAATAGTCTAATTTGCAGGGGTATAAGGTAGTTAGGGAAGCCATTGTTAACTAGATAGCCTTAATAATGGTTAAAAGTATAGCCGAAAGCGCTCTGAATAACAGAACATTTAAACAGTTTCTATACACTGTGTCCAGAAAAGAAAACACTTGTTCGAACACAAGAAAAACGTTTAATCGCCGTACCTTGTCTGTCGTCTTTAATGAAACATACATACATACATACATACATACATACATACACACACACACACACACACACGCACACACACACATATATATATATATATATGAACAATAAAATCCCAAATCACCTCATAGGAGGAATACCCTATTTCGGCAGACGGAAATATCGGTTGTCTGTCATATCTACCTCAGTGTGGGCTCGAAATCAGTCCACAATGGGAATAAAAAGACAGACGACCGATATCTGCGTCTGCCGAAAAAGGGTATTCCCCATATGAAGTAATTTTGGATTTTATTGTTTATTAATTATTTGCTCTGCAATAATAGATACATTGAGCTCTTTTTGTGGATCAGTTTTCATATTTTATATTACTAGGATCTACTATATATATATATATATATATATATATATATATATATATATATATATGGCGTCAGACATTATGAAAAGGACAAAATCCGACAATTATTTTGAGATAATTATACTTTTTGGAATGCATCCGTGCCCAAAAAATTACGTCTTCGGTCTTCGTCTCTGTTATATATATATATATATATATATATATATATATATATATATATATATATATAGATAGATAGATATATAGATAGATAGATAGATAAAAAACAGAGAGAGTGAGAGACGGGGTACATGTGGGTATACACAAAATTATGCAGGCATATATACGTATATATGTACATATATCCAAACATATTAAATTAAAAAGACCTAAAAAGATTTGCCTGTTTACTCTTTGATCCGGTATGAATTACCGCTCGGCTATGAAACACTTCACCGTAAGCAAGTCTTTTTTTTTTCTAACATGTTTAAGGAAAGCATATCCGCTTCACCCGAGGAAAATAAATTGAGTGAAGGGGGATATACTTTCAACTGCCCCTTCCTGGTGTTAAATATAAGTTTCCTTTTTGCTTCCTTCTTCTCCAAAACCTCGTCGTTGCTCACGTGTTCGCTCCTTGATATCCTCAGCATCTTTCTGTGGAGAAACAATTTTCTGTTGCTTCAAGTCTCTCTTTCATCTTTGAGATTTCTCAGCATTCACTGCCATACAGGAGGACAGATATCACGTAACAGTTCAGCATTCTTTTCTTTGTTTCTAACGATGTTTTTCCTGTCTCTTAATACTCTGCTTAGCTTTTGGGATGCTTCTTTGGCCATCCCAATACTTCTTCAGATTTCAGTGTATCACATTCCGAGTTATCAAAGCAGAATTTCTTGAAATAAATTCGTACATAGAAATATTTCTGGAAAATACACAGAGGGAAAACAGGAAATCAAGAAAAGTAATACTACTGTTCATATTGAGGAAGGAGAGCTTGGAAAATCGGATACTCACAGGACAGATTGAGGGCAAGAGGGACAGTGGCAAACAGCGCATAAATAATTGACAAGCTTAAGTAAATGGATGGCGGGACAGGGTTTAGGAGAAATAGCGAAAAGACAAAAGACAAGCTGCAAAGTACAGGAAATTATGGAGAGCCACGAACTATGAAAGAACATATCATATAAAGAAAATCAATGCTAGTGCCAATTCAGCACAAGTAGATGGTTTCATTCCTGGACTTAATTGAAATAACCCTGCCAAATAGCCTGATTACACTGATAATAGTACGTATAATACAGCATAGACCATAGCCTGTTCTATCAAATGATCCCCACACCCGCAAAAGAAGTCAGAATATTGTTCTCCTACAAGCAGTAGCAGGATACTGGTAAACGGTGAAGAATTCGACCACCAATGGTATTGGTAATGATAGCCGTTTCCTTATAAGGAAACATTCGGTATTTATTGACCGAGTAACCAGTACTATGTCGGTTGAAATTTATAAAATCTTTTGGTTTTTTATATATATATATATATATATATATATATATATATATATATATTTTCAGTAAAAAAGATTTCCCAAGTCCAGTAGCTGTTATCACTCTTTTCACCATTGATCTTCAAATTTTTCTTTTATTGATCCAAGTTTGGAGAGATGGTAAAAAGACAAAATATTATTAAGAGCTACAAAGGAAAGGAAATTGTGCAGAGCCCTAATCGCCAACGTCCTGCAGGGACACTGCACAAAAAAAGAAGAAGAAGAACTATAAAAACTTTGTGAAAAAAATTATAATTTTGTATTCTAGGTAAGTAAGTCATAATATATGTTTGATACGATTTTACCGTTAGATAAAAATACCGTTAGATAAAAAATAGATTTCCCAAGTCCAGTAGCTGTTATCGCTCTTTCCAGTATTGATCTAGGCTTCCCTAATGTAATGTTGGTAATTGTAACTTTAGCCGTTTACTAGTAAGGAAAAATTCAGCATTCATTGACGTTGCCACTGTCGATGGAAATTTATAAAATCTTTCTCTTCAAATAATTTTACTGTGAAATAGATTTCTCAAGTCCAATAGCTGTTATCGCTCTTTTCAGTATTGATATTCAAATTTTTTTTTTTTTCGGTAAGTTGTTCCACAAGAAAAAAATAGAAGAGATCTACGATAACAAAAAATAAAAAGGTTCCAAAGATATGAAGAATATGGAGCCATTATTTCTTTACATAAAGTGAATATAGGCTATTTAAAAATCTCTCAAGCCTGGTGTGAATTTGAATTGAACTTATCTGAAGTAAAGACAATAGATGCCATCAAAGAAAGGAAGACAGGAGGAACAAATCTTGCAACGCTTGATTGGTTCTGTAAGAGTTCTTGGTATGCAAAACTTTTCATTAGGCGGTACAAGTCAAAAGATGTACAGTGCTAGGAATGGACATTTTTTAAAAATCTTTATTGAATGCCTCGTTCCTTTTGATGAATGAATTTCTGCGTAAACTTAAAGATGAGATGATGGTATTCATATATTAAGAACATGGCACAGTGGATAAAGGCGTTGGTTAGATTCAGTGACAGGACGCAAAGAGTTGTGAGTTCAATACCTGGTTAAGGCGTTGGAGAACTTGGAGTGTTGAATTAACAGGAGATAACTGATAACTGACATCCATTAGACATGGCACGTGGAACTAGAATAGTCTACTCCAACGAGCGAAATAAAGGGTTCAGTTCGACATTCCAACCACCTGAAGAAGACCGGAGCGTACATCTGCTGAAACGTTGTGATAAATATGGTAACAAAGATGAGGACAATAGTCCGAATAATGTAAATAGTGTACATAATACCTCATCTCAGAAATATACACAGATACTGAACGGCTGAAACGTTGTAATAAATATGGTGACAAAGGTGAGGACAATAGACCGAATAATGTAAATAGTGTACATAATGCCGCATCTCAGAAATAAAGACAGATAATCAAGAACAATATTGAAAAAAAATATTGTATTCGGGAGAGATATCTACGAAGTGTCGTCCAGCTTTTGAAGGTTGTCTTGATGTTATACGGCCCGCAGATCCTTTGTATTTTCTCTGATAACCCCTTCACATAAGGCAGGCAGACTGTTTTCGGAGTTTTGTTGTCCTCCTCTTGTAACCGCCTATGCCAGTTTTTTGGGACTGCTGCCATGTACCCAGAGTAGTTGTTACGTTGTAGGGTACTACTTATAGTGACCCGTTCTTTATCTAATATCTCTGGGTCGCCACTTATGATAGAAATATAGACAGATAATGGAAAAAATGTATGCCAAAGTGGAAAAATGTTTTCTTGTGACGCATTTCGTTCTTTAGGATTTCATCGGACTGAATATGTTATGTTGCTGCGACTACACATGTGCACGAACAAGGAATGCTGGGAATTTTTAATTTAATTTTTTTTTAATCTAGCCGATTTAATTTAGATTTTTTTCTTTTTGTTTCTATCATTTTTGCTATTAGATACTCCACACTGTGATAATGGATATTCAGCTAGAAATGGTGAAGAGTTGTAAGGGCCAAGGAGAAAATTTATTGTAGATAACCTTGCGATGGAAACAAAAAGTATCTAAACGAAATCGGCTTGATTAAAAAATAAAATAAAATAAAAATGTAAAATTCCCAGCATCCCTGGCTCTGGAAAAGACTAGATTGTATCATACCTTCAAAAGAGAGATAGTAACGTTTCATCAATACAGAGTCGACCCTAAATTTATTCCTGTTCTGATGAGAGGCTGTACTCTCAATGATGCTACTTGCTTTGAACGATCACGAAGACTAAATCTTTAGTCTCCGTTGACATTCAAAGCAAGGACATAATAGACCTCATATGGAACTGGTATATTCGTGCCATTGCTAAAAGATGCTGTAAGAATAGTCGGTTCCTTGTACGCTTCAGAAAGTACCTGACACCCACAGTCATGCTTTTTCTTTACAACGGTAAGATCAGACCTAAAATGGAATGTTGTTACTATATCTGGGCTGGAGTTTCATTATCAACCCTTGACGAAAATGTTTATGCTGCCTTGTGAGTGATTAATTATTTTCTATCCTGCAAGCCACTTTTCCCATATACGAAACGTTAATAGCATCTCGCTATTTCCATGGCAAATGTTCAGACGTGCAACATTCACTAGTCCAGAGCTAGACATGTAGAACCCAAACACAGGGTTAGATCGTCATCTTTCCTTTCGTATTCCATTGGTAAGGAGGTAGTTCTACTCTACCCAAACCGGTTCATCCTCAGAACTGTTGAATTGTGAAACAGGCTCCCAATAGAATGTTTCCCCGATCGCTACAATCTTAGCCTTTTCAAGTCTAGAGCCAACCATTTTCTGTCCTATATATCCTCATGATTTACACCTCTTATTTTCTCCCTTCACGTCCTTACAACAGTAATGCTCTACCTTGAGTGGCTATTGGGCGTTGTATCTGCTGAAAAATAGTATAAAAGAAAATGTTCATGCAAAGAAAATCTGGAATCTATACGGCGTACACCACATCCGTAAAAGCAAGAAAATTCGGAGTAAGTTTGAATTCAGGGACAGCCATTTTTGTCTATAAGTCTGTATAAGAAATTTGTTAAAGTTCTGAACTGTTTAATTTTACAAGATCTTTTCACTCCATCTGCATTAATAGTAGGGATTTGGGAACTTTGAGCGCTACTGTCTATAGCAGCGTTTCTCAACCGCTCCGCCCAGGCGAACGAATATATATATATATATATATATATATATATATATATATATACTTATATTTTTAAAGCGCTAGAGACACCAAGTACATGGCTTCTACGTTTAAGTCAAGTCTTTGTCATACTTTTGGTCCTGGGTATGACGATAAACTACATCCGGTAGTAAGAGAGGTTTTGAGGAGCGTGGAACCACCTCTTAATTGCAGTTGTTCCCAATACGAACTCTGAAATGTTGTATTGGAGCTTCCGGTGCGAATGCCAAGCAGTACAGCATGCAGTTTCAAAATTTCTGTCGGAGTGAATAGCATTATGGTGCTCTTTTTCTCACAGACCGTGCCCAACTGACCCTACTATACAGTGCAGTTGACAAAATCAAAAACAAACACACACGCATGCGCGAAATTAAAAAATATATAAAATGGTGACAGTTTAACCATCGCACCCGGTATATGCACGACATTGAGGTTATACTAGACAATATGGTACAACTTTAAAAATTTACATAGGGTTGCTTGTAATACGGGGATTAAGGATGTAATTTATTCTCTGTTTTAGCTTCAGAAACACGAGGTTGTATTATACACAGGAAAACACGGTAAATCATTTTTCTATAAACGTTTATAAGAAGATTGCCTCTTACCACACATGGTTTTCCATTTGTAAATATATCTGGATTTTCCAATTAAATTTTATTATAGCGAAAATGGCGGAAAGTTTATTTGCCGGTTGCTTGTCGCATTGTTGTGTGTAAATCGGTTAGTGTACATCTCTATACGTGTATGTTAGCATAAGGAACGTAAATCCGAGCTGGTCTCATTTAAAGAAACGACATTTATCTGGTCATAAATGCTTCTCCTTTTTGTCACTGATCCTTGACAATGTCTACTTCTGATTCAGCCTTCGACCTTCCATTATTACGCGTCGACATCATTATGCCGTCGGCTGCTGACGTCTCGCCGATTCTCACAGCAATGGCACGGAAAAGGACGCGAAAAAAGAGAGAAGGGAGCAAATCTGAAATTGATATGGTGTCACCCTTTTCATGTGAGAAGGACGTCGGCATTTTGACACTTTTAACAGCAGTCGACCGTACTGGAATCTAATATATATATATATATATATATATATATATATATATATATATATATATATATATATATATATATATATATATATTGTGAATGTGAAGGAAATAATTTGTTTATCTGGCTAGTTCGCCAACCTTAATAATTTGTATCCGTTTATTCATTAAAATGTGGCAGACTTTTACGGCTTTGTCTTGATTGGGGCTGGGGGTAAGTATTTAGTTAACAATGGAATTGCTTTCAAACACCGAAGCTGAATAGAAATAAAAATATAAATTTGATACAGTTGCTATGAGAAGAAATAGAAAACAATTGTGAATATTGTGTAATTCTGAATAATCTCCTAAATGTAGAAATTCATTTCTTGCTTAAAAATGAAATTATATTCGTTGATGTCACCGACATCCACCCGTAAACAATTTCGTTTATGCACCAGTCATTCTTATTCAGAATGCATAATACAGCGAAATTATTCTTTCTTAGTTTGTTCATGCCTATTTATCTATCTAGCAGGATATATATATATATATATATATATATATATATATATATATATATATATATATATATAATCCGGTTAATGAAATTTGAGGAATAAAAAAGCCAACAAAATGGATAAAAGATTAACCATATTTAGTATATATTAATTGAAGCACAAAGAGCAAGTGTTTAAAGTCAGAATTTTCGGACACGCCTGTGTCCTTTTTCAACGAGACAAGGAAAAAACAAAAAAGTTGGACTCATTCTGCCGAGGAATGTTATTATTGTTGGTTAAAGTGATCTCCGTGGAAATTATATTCTCTGAGTAAACCTAAATCCCCGTCTAATTCTTTAATGTGTGATTTTATTTTGAAAATATATTTTAATTTTAGTCTTTCTTGGCGGTTGTTAAATGAAGACGCTAAAAGCACGTATCCGATGTCATCAATGCTATCAAATGGTTGGTTGAAGTGTGCAGCGAGGGAGAAATTGTTGTTTTTGCCCCAGATGATTTTTTTATGGTTATAACAGAAGATCGAACTCAGTGCTAGTTTCTCCAAAATAATTCCCTTTTTTTTTTGCATTTGTGGCAGAAAAGTAAGTATATAAGATGTAAATATATAAGATTTGAAATGTCATAGCCGGTGGTTTGAATATTGTGTGAAAGCCAATATTGTTAACATTTGGTTGTCTTTTTATTCCTCAAATGTTATTAATCAGCCTATTAAATCTACATATTTTAAGAAGCACACGTGGACCATCTTCCATTATATATATATATATATATATATATATATATATATATATATATATATATATACCACTAAAATCGATTTAAGTTAACGTTTAAAAATCAAAAATCTTTCTTGAAGCTTTCATTTTAGCTTTATGTGAAAGCTAAAGGATTAAATTTACTATTGCCAGTAAACAAAATACTCTGTTGTATTTCAAACAGAAATAATATTGATTGGGATCGATTTTCATTTTCTTTTCAGTAACATCCTCAAAGTCGTCCGTGTTTGAGACATTTGTGTAAACAGAAGTTAGTTCTCGGTTTTTAAAATCTTGCAAAATAAAATATACTTTTCTGAAAATTTATTTGAGCAATATTATCTGATTTAAAGTATAATTATTCTGATTTGAAACAATATTATTTACTTTAAGTTTAAAATATCGCAGGAATTAATTTTTAACCAAACAGTAGCTGTGTTTTTAAACAGACAGAAACCGTGTTTACGTGTTTGTCGAGGTGATGAAGGATCTAATGTTGTTCTCCGGATACTTTATCTGTACAACAATTTTTAACCAAAATTTCGAACGTGCTAGAAAGGTTTAAAAAATTAATAAAATAATGAAAAAAAAATACTTGGTCTTTTCTCTTAATAATAACATAAACATTTTGATGTTAAAACTTTGTTTTCATCAAGCTTTAGCCTTTTTCATCATGGCATGCTCTTTTTATAGTAAAAAGGAAATGGAGGTAATTATATATACATTTTTTTTTCACATGCTATTTTTGGCAGGATGAAGCGTGTCTTTTTCACCAAGACAAGGCACCTGACCACAACGCCCTGAGGATCCTATAGTTCTTGGCCGAGAAAAAACCTCGTAGTACTGGAAAAAAAACCTCCTTATTCACCTGATCTTGCTCGTGTGACATTTTTCTTTTACCCAAACTGAAAGGGATCACCAAGTGGACCCGATTTGAAGGAGTGGAGGCCATCAAGAGGAGGCCGTAATAACGGAACTGAGGGGCATCCAAGAAGAATCCTCCCCGCAGTGTGCAGAAGCGCAGAAGATGGAAAAGTGCATTAGATTCGAGGCGGATCAATTTGTAGGGAAAACCACGTAGTTTGTTGTTTGGTGTTTGGAATTGAAATAAATCCAATTACTTTTCAGGCTTCGTATATATATATATATATATATATATATATATATATATATATACGGGGCCGGTGCGTACTAGAGTCGGAAGGTGCTGTTGTTTTTTTTGGGGTGGGGTGGAGGCTCTGGGCAGTGCTTTGTGACTCTTGCTATCTTATCAACATTTTCTTTTTTCTACCAATATTTATATACATTACAAATTAATCTAAACACAACTGACTATTAAAGAAAGAAAGATTTTCGCGGATTTTGACGTCATTCTGGCGTCTTTTCTTTTCATTCAAATCCGTGAATTTATTTTGCTCATCTTAAGTCTCAGAAAACACGATATAAAACTCACTCATTTTTTTTTATCCATAATGTTGAATGTGTTAAAATTCTTTAACGATTTAAGAAGAAAAATCTCAAGTTGATGTAAAAATTTGCCACAAAACATTGTTGATTTATTTAAGATGGAATGATCTATTATGACATATCTATAATTTGTATTTAGATACATTGTATTTCTTTTCAATTTTTTAGTTGAATTGTTCACCTATATTGCATATGATCCATTATTTTACATAATTAGGTTAGAATAAAATTTGTATTTTACATGAATACTACCGTATGGAAATTGAAATGTGTTAGGGATGAGGATGCCCCATATCACAGATTCAGGGGTGTACCATAGATTCTTCGGGACACGAAACCCTTACACCGATCATATATATATATATATATATATATATATATATATATATATATATATCAAAAGAAAATCTGGCTGCCTGATGATTGTGTGCAAGCACATGAAACTGATAGTAGGGGCAATCACTTCCAACCTGGTTTATATATATATATATATATATATATATATATATATATATATATATATATAATAATCAAGTTCACCCCAAGCAAGGTAGTAAAGCAACTAAGACGCAAGGTGTTACTGGGTATGGAAAGATTAGAAATCAGAAACATTACTATGGTGCAGGAACGAAGGAAGAGTAATCAGGATGACAGTCGATAGCAATTGACATTGCATTTAAATTTTTGAAGATTAAAGTTGACCGGAAAGCATGGGACCGGAAAAGAGTTCCACAAGCCTGAAGTGCAAGAAAAGAAACTGTTAGTATAGATTTTACGGTTACATTTAGCCAATTCAACTGCAACCTCATCACAAGTCTATTTCTGCACTTAAATTAAAAGAATCTAGGCACCATACCGAAGAGGTCATCCGAATAATTACCATGAAAGTATTTATAGAAAAAGTCCCATGGAGGCAAATTTCCAGCGGTGGGAAAGTGACTGAAGCCGAGACGTCAGATCAGGAACAATAATATTGTTGACTTTCCTTTGGATTTTATCAAGAATCTCTATAGAAATAGCAGGAGCATCGGACCATATGCGGCAACAATACTCTAAGCATGGACGAATGGTAGACTTATAGGTATGTAAGACAGATTCTGGAAAGAAAATTGTCTAGCACGACACAGTGAACCCACCTTGCAGGCTGTTCTCTCAATGCTTTGTTTTGTAAACAGAGGGAGCTTGAAGTTCAAACACCTTGAAATTCTATGGCCACGTCTTCTGGATCTATAGAAAAGCATTCTGAGAGAAAATTTGCAATTTAGTTTGTATATTTTCACACTACTCAGTGTTTGCTTTTGGGTAGACGTTTCTCCGTTCGCCAGCCGAGTTTTAAAAAGATTCAGTTTCTTTTTTAACATGAAAACTAGACCATTCAAAAGATTTGTAATGTCACAAATTACGAAGAGGTAATAAACCCAGGCTTTGTTTACAAACTTCATTTTCTTGAAATCGTGTTATGGATCAAGAAAAATACAATCGTTACTCTTTCTTAGATGAGCATTGACGTCATACAGATAGCGCATAATATGTGTAACAGATGTGAACTGACGACGGCCAGTCGTCAGCCACCAAAAAACAAGCATAGACAACATTCAGTTGCGTGCCTCTGTTTGATGTTCAGCTGGTTTGGGTATCCCGTGACCCTTGTAAATGCGTCAAACACTAAATTTTATTTCGAAGAAAAAGCTACGTCTTTTGACAAAACACGATTTGGCATTTACTTTTTGTTATGACAATAATAACCCAAGAATTGAAGGTGTTCGGATTACCTCGGGTAATACTCAGGGTATTGATTTCCACATGATTTTTATTATGAAAAGAATATATATATATATATATATATATATATATATATATATATATATATGTGTGTGTGTGTGTGTGTTAGTGACCCAAATGTCTTCAAGAAAACATCTGGGTCACTAACACACACAAAAAGAATGTCTCATATCGACAATATTTAACATAGAAAAAAATAAAGGAAAAAATTAATTATTTTTAATAATATGTGTAAATCTCCACTCTTTGCCTGATGAAGGTCTTGAGACCGGAAACCCGTGTAGCAAAATTATGGAAAATAAAGCATATTTAAAAAAAAAAATCCACATTACAACCAAAAACGTTTGTGGTTTCACTCTTTTTTAATATATATATATATATATATATATATATATATATATATATATATATATATATATATATATATAAATATATATGAATATATAAATATAATGTAATTTTAAGGCATGCTATATTT